CCCCCCCACACACACACACAAAGCAGAAGACATTGTCTGCAACATTCATTTGCTCTTCCCGGGGGTAGGTCATCAGAAAGCGGGACTTGCTTCGTGTGGTCTGAGTAACAACTGCTTTCCCCATGAGGCTGAGAAGCCTGTCCACCCAAATTCAGGTTTCTCCTTTCTGTAACAGTCATCACTGGTAATTAGTGAACACATTCCCCTGCAGCCCTGGCATCCGGTGGTCCATGGACTGGTTCTCACCAGTGCACTGTGAGTGGAAGTGAGGTGGCCACCTGTAGGCCGAAGCCTTTAGGAGGTAGCCACTTTCTCCTCCTTCTTCCTGGCTATGTGCATGGGGAGTCATGCTCCGGAGCACCGATGGACCCTGCCTGCCAGCCAGGAACAACTGCCTTGACCAATATGTGTACGAGAAATCAATTACTGTGGAGTTAAGCCCTCGAGGCTTGGGGATGTATTTGCACAGCAGCTGGCGCTACTCTAAGCGATGGCTATACCTTACATGTTCTAGAATATGGGAAGAGCAACAGCTCTTGAGGAGGTGGTGTCAGGACATTGCCTCGCTTTCCCCAGTATGGTAGCCCCTCCTTACATAGCTCTCACAAAAAGGGCATCACAGGAATTCCGTAACACTCACCTGTGCACTCAGCATGTCTGGGGCTTTGGTGTGCACAGTACGCGGTTTTGGGGGAGGGGAGGAGGTGCCTCTGGGGCCCTGGTGTGTACATAATTGTAGGTGCCTCTGATGTAGGGGAGAGGCATGAGAGTCGAATATTAAAGCTGTATTGAGAGTCTGACACAGAAACCTGGCTGATCAGCGCAACAGCGACCTACGGGAAGGTCCCCGCTGAAATCGAGGGGTCTGCGGGCTGCGTTTCTTCCCGGATGTTTTGGGGAGGAATCTTTGCTGCTTATTCTGCCTATTGGAGGAACTGACTTTCCTGCGGTGCTGGGACCAAGGCTGCCACAACTTGCACCCTGTCAGAGAAGCTTAGAGCACTGCAGGCAGGGAACGTCCCCACCCGTCCTTGCAGGAGGCGGCCGTGAGGGTGTGGTGGGGGGGATGTCGGACGGAGTGCCGGCCACAGGAGTCGCCTTGGTGGAATAAAAGGCAACCGTGGAGCCACTGTCAGTGTGCCGACCGCCGTGGTGAATCGAGTCGGAAGGGAACCGGAGGCCTGCAGAGGAAGCAGTTAGGCACTTGCCAGAAATGTCAAAAAATGTGCCTCAGGAAGATTAATCTAGAAAAAATCAATACGGTGGCCGGCCTGGGGTCTGTGGGACAGAGAGGGGGCACCTTGTGGGTGTAGGGGGTGCTGGACGCAACCAGACCACCTACGGTCAGACGAGAGAACCCAGCTGGAGACTCTTCGTTGGCTGCCATCTTCCTGAGGGCACTGGAGTGCCAGCTCCTGAAGGAAAGGGCTTTGGCCCTCGCTCAGCTTTGCAAAAAATAAAATCTTGTTTCTGAAAACAGAAGAAAGAACTAAAAGAGGCCAGATCATCTCAAGAGGCTATTCGCAATTGTGCTTTTCCATGCTCAAGCTCTCTGTGTATTCTACCTAGCAACTGGTGAGGGGTAGGCTCAGGAACGCTATTGGCTGGCTGACCCGCCGCCGGCCAATCCCGGGCTCCGGACCATCCCTGGAAATCTTGGGACTCTTGTCACAGAGGCCACTGGGTCCCAGGTCCCCGGCTGCGCACAGTCACTGATGGGAGAAGAGGAAAAGTTTTCTCGGCTTTCGGGAAAACCGAAAGCTCCGTCGCGACTGTGCCCCATGGGCGGGTCAGAGACAGGGACAACCAGAAAGTCGTCGTTTGAGCGTCAGCGGCGGGAGGAAGACGCGGATGCTGATTCTGGCGGGTGGGCAGGGACCCCGGGCAGCGCTCCGGCGGGGCGGGGGCGCGGACGGGACTGGGGGCAGAGGCGGGTCTCGGGAGGGGGCTTCTTGCCCCCCCCACCCCCCGCGCTGGCCCCACCGGGTCGCACAGCCTGAGGCCAGGAGCAGGAGCGGGGCGGGGTGCAGAATATCAGGTGACAGCTGAAGAAACTCGCCTGTGGCAGAGAAGTAAGCCGAGCCGGGCGGGGCGTTGTTCGCGGGCTTACTCTGTGGAATGTTCGGTAGGTCTGTCCGCCGATGCCCAACCCGGAGACGGTACGGGTGCCAAGGACAGAAGTAGGGGCGCTGGTGGCCCCTGTGCGAGTGTCAGGGCGTTTACCGGAATCAGGACCGTGGTGCCCCGTCTCTCTGCGCCCCCAGGCCTGCGGCCCCTTCCTCTGCTGGGTGACGCTCCCTGGCGCGATGGCGCGGGCGGCTCCGCTGCACGCCTCCCTGCTCCTCTTCCCCCTGCTCGGCTGGTCTGCGCTGGCCTCAGGTAGGGGTGCTGCCACCGGCCCCTGTCAACGCAGGGACAGACCCCGCTGCCCGCGCGCAGAGCAGACCGAGGGGGCGCCGCGGCTGCGCTCTGTCGCCCTTCCCTGCGCACGCGCTCACTCCCACCCGACTCAGGCAGCCCCAAGGAACCAAAATACCATTAAAGCTTTTAATTCACGTCAAGTATCACCGACGAGAGAGTTAACATTCTTCATTCCCAATTTTCAAATTTGATATACGTAGTTCACATTTACAGCGCACTTCAGGTGGGACTAGCTAGTGGCGGCCACTTGGGTCAGGGTAGGTTTTCGCTGCGCCCCAGGCACTGGGCTCGAAGGGGACAGGGGCGAAGCTCTGTAAGCGCCAGGCGTGCGGGGAGCTCGAGACGTGCTTCTCCACACCGTGTTCACCAAGCTCGAGCAGCCTCGGCACTTCCCCTGCTAGGTGTCTCTGCTGCCAACCAGCCCCAGCTCCTGGCCCGCAGAATCCTCAGCCCGGGACGCCCCTCTGTCTGTCCCCGGGAACGGCCGCTTCCCTTCCTGCGGTAGACATCTGTCCGATGGCCGGCGCCCCATCCGATTCTCTCCCTTTGTCGAACAGCCCAGTTTACTGTCGTGGGGCCAGCTGGTCCCATCCTGGCCATGGTGGGAGAAAACACCGTGTTGCACTGCCACCTGTCACCTGAGACAAGTGCCAAGGACATGGAGGTGCGGTGGTCCCGGTCTCAGTTCTCCTCGGCGGTGCTGGTGTACAAGGGCGGGCGGGAGCGGGCGGAGGAGCAGATGGAGCGGTACCGAGGACGAGCAACCTTTGTGAGTGACGGCATTAGCAAGGGGAGCGTGGCGCTCATCATACACAACGTCACGGCTCACGACGAGGGCACGTACCGCTGTTATTTCCACCAAGGCAGGTCCTACGACGAGGCCGCCATGCGCCTCATGGTGGCAGGTACGTCCTTTCACTTTGCTTGGTTGCTGTTTCACGGTGTGACTCTGGGGGAAAGTTTCTCTCTGAACCTCAGGCCCACCGCAAATCTGATTCTTTTTGCCTAGAATCCCCTTAAAATGGGAAAACAGCATCCTCCTGCGCGAGGCCGAAGGAGCAGGTTCGCCCTGCTAAGCTGTGGGCCTCGAGCACACGCTGCAGCCTTGAGCAGCGGAGACCCTCTGACCCCTGCAAATTGTTCTCACGCTACTTCTTAGAGATCCCTAAGGGTCTTCGTCAGCAACTCACTTTACAATGAGACATCTTAGACGTATCCCTCTGTTCCCAGGCCTGGGCTCCGAGCCCCTTATTGAAATCAAGGGCCCCGAGGATGGGGGCGTCCGGCTGGAGTGCACGTCTGCGGGGTGGTACCCGGAGCCCCGCGCCGTGTGGAGGAGGGGCCCTTACGGTGAGATCATGCCCGCCCTGGCGGAGGCTTACACCGCGGACACCGACGGCCTCTTCAGGGTCAGCATGGCCGTGATCGTCAGGGACTGCTCTGTGAGGAACGTGTCCTGCTCTGTCAACAACACCCTGCTCGGCCAGGAGAAGGACACTGTAATTTTTATTCCAGGTTAGTCCCTCGCACTCTGGAGCAGGGGTCTCCAACCCCCAGGCTGTGGACCGGTACTGCTCCGTGGCCTGTTAGGAACCGGGCCGCATAGCAGGAGGTGAGTGGAGGCGAGCGAGCGAGGTTTCACCTGTTTGCAGCCGCTCCCCAGCGCCAGCATCACCGCCTGGGCTCTGCCCCAGATCATCGTCATGAGAGCACCGGTCCCTGGTGCCAAAAAGCTTGCGCACTGCTGCTCTGGAGGCTTCCTGAGTGGAGGCGGGATGCTCGGCAGACAGACTGGGACCGGGGAGGGGAGCAGAAGGGTCCTGAGCCCTGAAGAGCAGAGGCTACAGCTGAGCTGAGGCCTCTCCCGTTGTCACAGGGGACCTTCATATAGTCTCAAAACATGTGAGTAGGAGCCTCTTCTCTGAGGGTAAATCTGATAGTTTTTTCCCTGTTATGGTTCTTATCCTGCAGCAAGTTTTAATCATTTAGGACAATCATAGAACTTAGAGCGTGGTATTGGCAGGTAGCTGTCTACACCTGGTGGTGCTCTATGCGTGGGCTTTCCCAAGGGGCAGAGCTGGGGAGAGTCTCCGGCTGCAGACATTCATAAATCCATTCAACCAATACTTAGCAAGGGTCACACGTGTTCAAGGCACTGTGCTGGACACCAAAGATAAACCGGTGAACGAATGCATGAAGATCCCAACCCTCACGCGGCTCGCATTCTACAGCAGCAGAGTGATCGATAAAATAACTAAAATAAGGAGGGAAATAACTAATTAAATTAATTAAATAAGTACTGTAGAAAAAAATTAATCGGAAAAGGAGGTAAGGAGGGCTAGGGACACGGGATATTATGATTATAAACAGGATGGTCACAGAGGGCTTCTCTGAAAACATGGCAGTTGGGCCAGTGAAGAATCAGCCACGCAGATACTTGAGGACTGAGCAGGCCAGGTCAGGGTGTCTGGATGGTCGAGTGGCCTAAGGAGCCAGACTCGAGTTCTGCTTCCCCCGAGCAGGCCAGGTAGCAGGAACGGCACATGCAAAGGGCCTGAGACAGGAGCATGTCTGGCAGCTTCAAGGCCCCCGAAGAGGCAGGTGTGGATGGGATGGACCGTGCCAGGAGACTGGAAGGAGACGGATTCGGATTAGAAACGGGTCCAGAGCACACCGGGCAATGCAGGCCACAGATGGACTTCAGCTCTTAGTCTGGGTGAGATGGGAAACTCTGCAGGGTTTCGAGCAAGGAAGCAGCATGATCTCACGGGGCTGCGGTGCCGAGGACGGACTGACTGCACAGGCTGTGGGCGGAAGCAGGGAGGAGGGCATCGCAGTAATCCAGGTGAGAGTGATGGCGGCTTGCACCTGCATCATGGCTGTGGTGATTCAGCGCAGACGGTTAGCTTTCATTCATCCGGGTCCTTCCCACGCTGAGTCCAGGAGTTTATGCTTTTCTGTCTCCTTGGCCCTGTCAAATGACAAAAATAAGACAATTTAGTAATGAGTTTGACGTCCTTTGTTCAAAGGAAAATCACCCATGGACCGGGGGAGTGCAGGGTCTCATCAGCAGTGGGGACTCTTCCTGAGGGGTTTTGGGTAAGAGCAAGGGTTATGGAGGCAGAAAGGGGGTGTGACTGCCTAGGCGGTCGGGGTTCCTCACAAGGCCAGCGGGTCCTGGCTTCCAGGGTGAGGGGAGCTGGGGTTGGTGGGTGTCGGGTTCTGCTGACAATGAGTGTTTCCCGTATGTACGAGCAGGCTGACTTAGGTGCAGATTTGTGACATGGGCCACTGAGGTGGCTCCATTCTGCGGGAGGAGCCAGTGAGGAGCCCGTGTCTCTCTCATCCCCTGGGGCCCCTGTGAGAGCCGGCAGAGCAGAGACAAGGTTCCTGAGGGGCCCTCGCCTGCGTCTCCCTTTCTCACTAACGGGAACGTGTTTCCAGCCCCCTCTCCAGAGTCCTTTATTCCCAGCATATCTCCCTGGATGGTGGCCCTGGCTGTCACCCTGCCTGCTCTGCTCCTCCTTGTCACCGGGAGCATCTGCCTCATCAGGAAACTCTGCAGGGAAAAAGAGACTATGTCAACAGAGAAAGATTTTGAAAATAAAGAAAAAGAAATTGCACGTAAGGAACTAGGGAGAGGATGTGTGGAAAAGGGGAAGGAACGGCTAAGAAAAGGTAAAAGAGGAGGAGGGTAGCCCGCTGTCAATCAAAGGACAGCGCCCAGAAGCCTGGGACGGAGCGGGTAGCAGTGGGGCTCGGCGCTCAGGGCTCACGCCCCTCCGTTCTGCAGATGCCACGACCATCCGCCTGGCTACGGGGAGCACTTTATTGCCGAGCGAAAGCAAACCTACATGAGTGCTGCCACTACCCAGCCACCTGGTCACACATGACTTCTGGAATCTGGATAATGCCCTGGGGGGCGGGGGCGGCAGTCCGCAGGAAGGGCTAGGTCGTCATCGTTTACTGCAGACTCGCTTTCTCTTAGTTCTTCTGTGGAGGACACTCAATCGCTTCTGTTTATTTTTCAGAGCAACTTCAAGAAGAATTGCGTAAGTCCAACATGTCGCCAAGTACCCGTGCGCAGTTTCTATGCTCGGTTCCCGTCACCTCCCGACGCTCACCTGTCTGTCTGCCCCCTTGCAGGATGGAGACAAGGCCTCTTACACGCCGGTAAGAGGGGCCTGGGACTTGCTCTCAGACCCTGAGCTTTCTGCCCACTAGCCAGTCGACAGGACAGAGGAGAAGGACGAGGGGGCCCAGGGCAGGCCGGGGGACGGCGGGGGCGGGGGCGGTGCGCAGGCAGCACCCCGCTAGGCACAGGCGCAGGTACCAGGCTGGCCAGGGAGCCCCGTTTCCTTCCCGCCATCCATTCTCTTTCCGTGCAATCTCATCCACGATCACCAGAGGTCGACCCCACACAGCAGGTCTCCCCAGAGGGGACGTGTGGGCAGTTGTTGGTCTTCCGCTCCTGGGTGAATTGGAAAGAAGACGACACTGCTTAGCTGTCCGTCACCTGGGGGAGGGCAGAGATGGCGCACTATTGCCATGTGTGGGACGGGCAGTAAGCTCCTCCGAGCCTCTCTCAGGGGTGGACAGACGGGTGCCAGAAACGCGTCCAGGGCCAGGAGGACGCTGGGCGGCATGCAGCCCACGAGGGCCGGGGCGGGGCTGGGCGGCGGGACCACGCAGGGTCTAGTGCTGACCTAATGAGCACTTTGTCACCTTCTGCTCAAAAGCCCCAAAGAACCCGGGCTTTACCGGATGCCTCGGTACTGGGACCTTCCCACTTCAGGTGAATTTCAAAATTGTCACAGTGGGACATATCAGCATGGGGAAAGGAGAAAATGATTGTAACGTCTTAGAAGTGTGGGCCGACCCAGTAATGATGACCGCGGGCGGGGGTGGGGGTGAGCCGGCAGAACCGCTCACTCCAGCCGGTTCTCTGAACTTCCCGCCGAGGCCCAGCGAGCCTCGCCCTGCGGCCACGCTCCCGGCCTCGGGTCACGGAGCAGCCTCCGTCCCTGCCAGGCTGCGAGTCCTCGAGATCGGGGTCGAGGGGCCTTCACGGGAGAGGCTGCCACAGGGCTGGGGGGCGGGTCTCGGGTACCGGGAGTCGCTCAGTCTCCTGCGACCCCAAGCCTGAACCTGAGACTTCCCCGCAGCCGACGTCACCTTGGACGCAGACACCGCGCACCCCGAGCTCTTCCTGTCGCCGGACCGCAGGGCCGTGAGGCGGGGTCCCCGCCGGCAGAGCGTGCCGGACACCGAGGACAGGTTCGACTGCCGGCCGTGCGTCCTGGGCGCGGAGCGATTCGCCTCGGGGCGGCACTGCTGGGAGGTGGAGGTGGCGCGCGTGATGGTGTGGGCCGTGGGCGTGTGCAGGGACAGCGCGCCGAGGAAGGGGGAGGCGCTGCTGGTGCCTCGGAATGGCTTCTGGACCCTGGAGCTGTTCGGGAGCCAGTACCGGGCCCTGTCCTGCCCCGAGCAGACCCTGCCGCTGCGGGGGCGCCTGCGCCGCGTGGGCGTGTTCCTGGACTACGAGGCCGGGGACGTGTCCTTCTACAACGCGGTGGACAGGTCGCACATCTACTCGTGTCCCCGCTCGCTCTTCTCCGGGCCGCTCAGGCCCTTCTTCAGGCTGGGATCTGATGACAGCCCCCTGTTCGTCTGCCCGGCATTCACGGGCTCCCGGGGACTCGCGGTGCCTGAGGGAGGCCTGGTCCTTCACAGGCCGGGGATCCGCCACCGCCGGGACCAGTTCCCGGGTCTCAGAGCTCAGAGCGAGGCCGAGAAGCCCCGGCCACAGCCGGGCCCCTGAGGACAGCGGCGCTGCCAGCGCCCCCCAACGCCCTCCTCAGCCCCGGCCCCTGGCCCCCTCGCTCGGCTCCTAGCCACAAAGAAGGTGCGAGAAAGTGACAGGCCGAAAACCTGCTTGTGGCATGTGCAGCGTGGCACTCGAGTTGACATCAGACTCTGCAGACTTGGGGTGAGGGCAACAGGGCGTAGCAGGACCTAAGAGGAGGGGGCACCGCAGGGCCTCTTCAGGGGCGAGGGGCCTGCAGTGGAGGTCGGTGATAGAGAGGAGGCACCAGGGAGCTGATAAGAGGAGGGGGCACCGCAGGGCCTCTTCAGGGGCAGGGGCCGCAGTGCAGGTCGGTGATAGACAGGAGGCACCAGGGAGCTGAGGGGCCACGGCTGTGGGGGTGGGGTGCCCACTGGGGCAGCCAAGGGGTCCAAATCCACCCCACCCCCAGGATTTCCAGCCCCACAGTAAAGCTCCCCAGGCCTGGACCTGGCACACAGAGGATGAAAGACAGGACATGTCTGCATCTGGCCAGGCTCCGGGTCCCTGCAATAAACACAGCGAGCACTCAGTGACAGACCAGCCTGAGGCTCAGGGTCCCGGCTGAGCAGGCAGCGGTGGCCGTAGATAAACTCGGAGGCCAGGCTCCCTGGGGAGAGCAGCACTGCCAGCTTGCTGGCGTCAGGATGCCTTTCCGTCCTCAATAATTATTGAGGACCCCAAGGCCACTTTGCTCATTGTGCTTATATCTGTCAACATTTAGTACGTTGGACTGGAAAAGCTTTAAAGATATAGTTAATAATATTTAAATGTAATTTAAATATATTTAAAGTAGTTAAAACGGATTATAAGCTAATAGAAACAATGTTTTGTGAAAGATAACTTGTTTGCAAAGCAAAATAAATGTTAGTGATGTGTGTGAAATTGTTTAATGTGTTTTGCATCTTATGTCTGGCTCAATAGAAGACTGAATTCTCGTATTCGTTGACATAAGAATGTCCAAACCTGTAGAAAAAATGTATAAGAGTTTGAGCCGAACTCACGACATGCACGGAAGTGAGATCTCGAATGCTCCCAAGAATAAGTTTTTTGTAGGGAGCTAAAGCTCCCAAAATTCAAAAGACGGCATGGTTTATCTCGGGAGGCCTGCTTGCAGAGAAAAGGCTGGTTCTGTGGAATTCCAGGAAGAAGAAGATTAAGTATAGAAAAAGGGAGTGTCAAAGGGAGTATTGATTGTACCTGATCTTCAGGATGTTACTTTAATTATGTTATCCTGGGATACACAAAGGAACAGATTATGTATAAAAAGGAGCATGAGAAATAAACTGGGAGAGACAGTTGTGAGATCTGTTCTTCCTCCTGCACCCTGTCTGTCTGCTCTTTTTTCTCAGTCCCCGCTCCCCCATTCAGGGACCTGGTTTGACTTGGTCGGCTGGTTTCCAACAGTTTTTCAGCCCCCCTTCTGCGTTTGGAATGAGGGAGGGAAGGTCAGAGGTCACATGAAGGTGAGGTGCAGACAGCTCGGGGAGACCCCGGGCTCCTGGGAGGGTGGCTGCGCTCTGGGAACCTGACAAAGGTTTGCTCCTGGCATTTCAGAGGCATGTGAGCTAGATGCATGGGGACAATGGGCGGGGCCAGTTTACAAGCCTTTTGTTAATTCAAGGAACTCTCCACTGCAAAACACCTCCAGGAATGACTCAGAGAAGCCACCCTCAGCCTCTTCTCCCCAGGGCACGTTCCAGCTCCTTCCGCCCCACTAGCCCTCTTCTGCACAGAACCCCAGCCCCATCTACTCCAGGCTCCCCACATCCCCGCCTTCCCTCTGTGCAAGCTGACTCTGTGGTGGTACCACGCACGCAGATTTAATGCAGGCCCCAATGGGGGAAGTCTGTCAGTGTGATGTCGACGTGTCATTAGGTCATATCTGATTGGCACCAGGCGCCAGCCCTGTGTGCCCCCAGGAAAGACCGGCTGGCTGCAAGCCAGCCACGGAATCCAGTGCTATACACGATGCCATGCTCCCCGGTCCTTTGCCTTCACCAGGTTTAGCTACACGCAAAATAGATGAGCCCAAGACCCCGAGCCACAGCCGTCCGCCAGGGCAGCCCCACGATTCATGGGAACCCGGCGGCTGGAAAGAGACAGCGCTGTTACCTGCAGGCCTGAGGGCTGCTGAGGGCTGAGGCAACCACATCTCCCCCCACCCCCACCCCCAGTTCTGCCAGCGGGTGGGTTGGCCGTTGGCAGGAAGGGAGAAGCGGCTGAGAGGAAGGCAGCGGGAGATGAGCAGACCCTTCAGCATTGTCCCGACCAGACTAAGGCACCTGCACTTGGTACAGGGGTCGCTAGGAACGTGTCTGGACTTTTAAGCAAAAAGGGTGACGTGATCACCTTTGCATTTGGGAAGTCATTTTCCTGCATTCTGGTGGGTCAACTGGGCGATTACCTTTTGTTGGTCTTAATCACAGTCCCAGTTAAAAGGCCAAGAACAAACTGGAGTGGTAAAGGATCTTTGCCACAAATATAATATGGAGCTGACATCTCCAGTTTATAAAAAGCTCATACAGATTGATAAGGAACGTGAGGAAACAACCAGACCTATTCGCCCGCCCATCAGTGATGGTGAGAAGGACCCCACCGCACGCACACACACGCACGCGCGCGCACACACACGCACACTCAGGAATTACGTGAGCAGATCAGTCGCCTTGGTGGTGAGACAGATTCAGCGTTTCAGGGAGGCACCATGGCTATAAACCCACACCCTGTGACCTGATATCTGTATTTCTGGGAATTTATCAGAAAGTGTATCACGAAGCTATCAAAGATGCAGACAAAGTCTTACGTGTGAAGTGCGCTTTTGTAATACACAACTAAGATGTTCCACTCGGGAATCAGAAGAATCGACAGCACGATGTTATGTGGCTGTCGACGTTTCGCACTACACCAGGCCTCATCCGTTCTGCCTTTCATGACATAAAGCCGGGCGGACATGCGCTGAAATGCGGAAACGGGCTGTCATTAGTCGGAAGCATTACGGGTGATTTCTACTTTTAAAAAATCTTTTCCCACATTTTTAAATGTTTCCATAACAATAACAGGTTTAGCCCCAAATAAGGAAAAGTTGCTTTCGGGGGAGGCAGCTCTGGGCCCCGAAAACTGCATCGCACAGAGGCGTCCGCAGCCCAGTGAACAATAGAATGGCGCGCTGCTCAGTGCTTGACATGCTTAATCTCATTTGATCGCCCATCCCCTCTCGGAAGAAAGTTACTAACAATATTCCTGCCATAGAGACAAAAGGCCCGCTGCAGGCAGGGAGGGGCGAGTGGGTGGCCTGGCTCCTCACGGCATCCAGGGCTTTCCCCGGCCTCCGCCTTCCCTTTTCACTCTACCGGCTCTTGCTTAGTCCAGCTCATCCGCTCATCCGCGCAGGTCCTCGCTCTGAGCTGCAGACCACAAGTGCTCTGTCCCTTCCTCTGTTGGAAACCGACCCTTCTTTTGCAAAGTAAACGCTTGGGGGGGGTGGGGCATGGGGACTGGCTTTCCGCGAGCACCGCCCCTTCCTCCTCCCCCTGGCTTTAACTTTGCCCCTGGGGCCACAGCCAGGTTCTCACTTGTTGGCAGTGGCTTCTTGGTGCCTTTTCCTCCAAGATCTGAGGTTAGTATCGGTGATTCCTCTCAACCGCCAAGGGCAGCGGGCAGGAGGCATCTCTTGTCCCCCTGTCCCTTCCTTCCTGAGTCCCAGGCGCCCTGCTCTTCCCGCCCTCCGCTCCCCTTTCCCATCGGGTCTTTTTTCCCCTTTTCTCCCCCACTTCGTTCCCCTGGACCCCACCTGCGCCTCCACCGCTTCATCTCTATTATCATCGCGAAAAGCAAAACCAAATTCCTGTATTCGGAAGAAAAGCGTTTCAGGGCAGTGGTTCCCCAGATCTGGGCACCCCAATTGTGGGCACTGCACCTTACAGTTACGTCTCCCGAGTCCCCTTGGGGTTTGGGGGCCCATGTGGCTGTTCTGTGCAGGCCGGACCTGCCTCGGGGCGGGGGCGGGGAGGCCTGCACTGCGGGGCCGGGCCGGCGGTGAGGCCTGGGGCACACGGCCTTGCGCACTGCGCGGGTGGGAAAGGCCCTTGCGGAGGCCGTGGGGAGGCGGGGCGAACAGTGACCCAGGCCCCCTCCTGTCCCTTCGTGTCCCGACAGACTCCAGCACAGGGGGAGATGGCCGCCATCCCAGCCCCCCGCCTCGGCGTGCGTCTGCTCGCGCTCACGCTCCTGCAGCTGCCCGGCCTGCATTTCGGTGGGTCTCCCCTGTGCCCCTCTCCTCTCTCGGGCCTGCAGGGTAGAGATGTCTCAGTAAGTGTAAACAGTCCCACTTGGGACCCCCTTGCGACGACCACTGGGGTCCAGACGGACACTGCCACCGTCACAGGAATAAGAGAAACGGCGGGAGAGACGGCCCTTGGGCGGGAACCGGTCTCGCCGGCCCTGGGCCCCCGTGCCGACACCCTGTCCGCCCCTCTCGGTTCTGGCAGCACCCTTCGACGTGATCGGGCCCCCAGAGCCCATCCTGGCCATGGTGGGCGAGGCCGCCGAGCTGCCCTGCCACCTGTCCTCCAACGAGAGCGCGGCGCACATGGAGCTGCGCTGGTTCCGGGAGCAGGTGTCGCCCGCCGTGCTGGCGCACCGCGACGGGCGCGCACAGGACGCGGAGCAGATGGCCGCGTACCGGGGCAGAGCCGAGCTGGTGCAGGACGACATCGCCCAGGGCCGCGTGGCCCTAAGGATCCGACCGGTCCAGGCCTCGGACGACGGGGAGTACCGCTGCTTCTTCAGGCAGAACGACCGCTACGGGGAGGCCAGCGCGCGCCTGAAGGTGGCAGGTGAGCCCAGCGGGTCGGCCTCCCCCGCGGCTCCCAGGGGCGCACATCTTCCTGTGGGTCTGTCTCCTAGGAAACCCGCAGATTCGATCCCCGCATCCCTTTTAGGGCCTGGCATCAGGAGAGTCTCTTTCTGAGCTGTGTTTCCTACAGTGAAAACTGGGGAAGCATCTATCCCACACGGATTTTGCAAGAATGAAATAAAATTAGACAATATAGGAGAAACCGTTTTGTCAATTCTAAAAGCATCTCATGCTTTTACAATATTATTACTGTACCTCGGCCTGCTCTAGATTGTATGCTATGTGAATATATTTTTTAAAGCGGCAGCCCTTTCCATGAAAAATACACCTTCTCAGGGATACACGTGAACTTGGAGTGTGGATTTCGACCAGTGGTCGTGGACATGCATTTAATGACTTTCCTGCAGCCTAGTGTTTTTCTGTACTTGGGGAAATAAGTAGGCTGAACCAACAGGAAAAGCGGGTGTAGATTTGTGTTAGGACATAATCGTACGAGGGAAGTTGAGACTGAAAACATTTAAGAAAATCCTTGAATCAGCATCACAGCTAAAAGAGATTTAAACTGTCAGCTGTGAGCTCAGCGCCAAAGCCCTTCGCTCCCCCTTCTCGGCTCGGCCTTAAATACCCGGCCCTAGCTCCCCTCTTCCCAGCGCCTCACATAAGCGCGCTGGCCACAGAGCCCCCTCCCACCTCTGGATTCCCAGCCTGGACCGCTGACCGCCAGCAGCCATGGGGCTCGCTGTCCTGCCGACTGGACTAGCACCCCGCGCCTGCCCACCGGGGCCCTGCCCACATTCCACACCCTCCATCCCCACACAGAGCCGCTCTCTCGTGAGGTTGTGGGACCCCTTTTATTTATGCCTCAGTTTCTTCATGTGATGAAATGAGGAGATGGGTCCCCTCGTCCCCTCTCCCCGCGCTATGTCCCTCGAGCCCCGCAGCTCTCTGGTTGTGGGGCTCCCTGAAGGGTGTCCACTGAAAGAGAAAGACTGGCTTCTCTCTCCGCAGCTCTGGGCTCCAACCCCCACATCCACATGGGGGTGCAGGAGAGCGGGGAGACCCGGCTGGAGTGCACCTCCGTGGGGTGGTACCCAGAGCCCCGGGTGCAGTGGAGGACTCCCCGAGGAGAGACGTTTCCATCCGCGTCAGAGTCCCGGAGCCCCGACGCGCAGGGCCTCTTCACGGTGGCAGCCTCCGCGGTCATCACGGACAGCTCCGTGGAGAGTGTGTCCTGCCATATCTGGAACCCCCTGCTTGGCCGGGGCAAAGAAGCAGAGATTTCCGTGGCAGGTCAGTGACACCGGAGCCGGGCCCCTACCTGACACAGAGGTGGGGCCACCTCATCCGGGCCGGCGGCCCGGCAGGACCCGTGGCCGAGGGTCCGCTTTCCCCCTCAACTCCTGACCACTCACCGGGGGCCCCCCACACTTCGCCTGAAGAGTAAAGATTCTTCAGGCATAAACTCTGCCAAGGCCTCAGAAACTCCAGCTTTTCCGTCTTCGGAGATACGCCTCAGCTGGAGAAGCTTCATTCTGGGCTGAGCTGCCCCCAGCCCCCGCTCTGGCCCCCTTTCTCCTCCCCGCCCCAGACGACAGCTCGTCTGGGCTCCCCGCCTTCTCAGGGAAGCAAATCTCCTTGTTCCTCCCCAAACGCTACCTCAGGTCCAGGCAGGAACTGTTCCTCTTTCTCTGGTCATTGAGTCCCATGCTGCTGCCCACAGAGGGGACATTTCCCCTTCCCCGTGAACTTCCCCATCCCCTTGGCTCCCATCCTGCATTGATCGTTGGGGAGCAACTTCCACGATGACATGAATTGGTCCATTATCTTCTTTATTTCACAGGTTCTGTCCCCAGGTGGCCCTTGTCCGTCTTCTTCCCTCCCTTCCCCAAGATCAAACTTTTTCTGAAAAGCTTCAGTGGCACTGGACGGGCTGTTTTCGCCTGGGGAGGAGTGGGAGGGGCCCTGTTCATCCCCGCTGTGCAAGGAGAGTCGGACTTGCTCAATGTTTCTCAACAAATGTCCTCCTTGGGGGTTTGTTTCAGCTCCCTTCTTCCCAAGGCTGACCCCGTGGGCGGTGGCTTTGGCCGTCATCTTGGTGGTCCTAGGAATTCTCATCATCGGGTCCGTGTTCTTCACCTGGAGGCTATACCGGGACCGATCCGGACAGAGGAAGGGTGAATTCAGCTCCACAGGTACGTCGTTGAACCCCAGGCTGCTTGTCGGGTGAGGTTGGAGCCGCGTCCTCCGGGATGATGGTCAGTGGAAGATGTCTGACTCTTGAGTTCTGCAAGGCAGAGGGGACCGCGAGGCCCCTGGAATCACTCACACCCAACATGAGGGAAGACGAGGGTTGGGGGCAGAAGGGGTCAGACCGGTTCTAACCGGGACACTAGACCCGATGTTTCCTCGCTACTTGCCCCAAGGCACTGTCCTCACTGCTAACACGATTTCCCAGCTAGGGAGGAAAGGTCTGGCCTCCAGCCTGTAGGGACTTCCTGCGTCTTTCTTAGAAGAGAGGACATGACCCTTGCTTTTCATTATCGACAGTGATTCTGCAATCAGGTAGTCATGACACACAGCTATTCCCGTGTGTGTTTCTCACACCATGTCCCCTCCCTCACGTCCCTTACAGAAGGTCACTGGGCATTTCTGTTTCTTTTTCAGAGAACCTCCTGGAAGAGCTCAGTAAGTTCTACCTTCTTGTCACCACCCCGCCCACATGGGCTTCCGGTTCTTATTGTAAGACCTGTCAGTGTCTCTCTCTCTCTCTCTCTCTCTCTCTCTCTCTCTCTCCCTCCCTCTCTCTCTCACACACATCTCTCTCTCTCATTGCAGAGTGGAAAAAGTCAACACTTCACGCAGGTCAGTGGCTGCCAACTTCTCAAGGGCTCTGGGGCTCCATCTCCCATGGATTCAAAGTCCTATAATACTTGGGAATAAGGACAGTAACACATTTTAGTGATTCAGATGATGAAGGCAGAGAGGGGAGAGGGGATGGCAAGTGGCCTCAACATTTCCTTGAGGCAAATAGAGGCCCTCGGAAGATGACTCGGAGACAAGCCCCCTCTGACAGGGTCCCATTAGGCACTGGGGACAGGCAGCTCATCCGTCACCCTGCGGCTGTCGATGGAAGAGGGGAGCAGAGGCAGCTGAGCCAGCCAACCCACCAACCAGCCAGCCAGCCCTGCTGCAAGGAGACCTGCCAGCTCCTAGAGCTGTGCCCGGCCTCTGTGGGAGGGGGCGAAGGGAAGGAATGATGGGCCTTGCAACCTCTGCCGCTCCACGCTCAGACTCGCTCTCTCCCTGTCTCTAGTTGATGTGACTCTGGACCCAGACACCGCCCACCCCCATCTCTTTCTGTATGACGGTTCCAAAGCTGTCCGGCTGGAAGATTCGCGTCAGAAAGTGCCCGAGAAGCCGGAGAGATTCGACTCCTGGCCCTGCGTGCTGGGTCGGGAGGCCTTCAGCTCCGGGAGGCATTACTGGGAGGTGGAGGTGGGGGACAGGACCGACTGGGCCATCGGGGTGTGCAGGGAGGACGTGCCGAAGAAAGGGTTCGACCCCATGACTCCGGAGAATGGGTTCTGGGCGGTGGAGCTGTATGGAAATGGGTACTGGGCCCTCACCCCACTCCGGACCCCCCTTCCGCTGGCAGGACCGCCCCGCCGGGTGGGGGTCTTCCTGGACTACGAGTCAGGAGACATTTCCTTCTACAGCATGACTGACGGGTCCCACATCTACACTTTCCCCGACTCCTCTTTCTCTGGCCCCCTCCGGCCCTTCTTCTGCCTGTGGTCCTGTGGCAAAAGGCCTCTGACCATCTGTCCCGTCACGGACGGGCTCGAGGGCGTCACGGTGGTTGCTGATGCCAAGGACCCTTCTGGGGAGATCCCACTGTCCCCCATGGGGGAGGATGCTGTCCCTGGGGACACAGAGACCCTCCATTCTAAACTAACCCCTACCCAGCCCAGCCCAGGGGCACCATAAGGAGTGTCCCCACTCGGCTCCTCCCCTCGCTCTAGCCCCTCTGCCCAGCACCCCTGAAGCTCCGGCCGCCAGCGGCCCCATTTCTTCCTGCTGCATCGGGCATCACTCTTCTCGGGGGGGTGGTGTTGCTGCTGCTGGAGTGTGGGCTGGGGGACCTCATCTATTCAGGACCAGTAACTCGGTGGGCAGGGGGTGACTCTTCAACCGCTTCGGTCCTCCTGGCCCCGGAGGCCAAACCCTGTAGGGAGGGACTCAGACGCCCTCAAGGACAGCTCGGAGGTGGAGACGGGTTAGGCTGGCATGTGATGATGACGGAAACATCCCGGTGCCCAGAGAAGGGGCGGGCAGCGGAAGACACTTTAGGCAAAAGCAGAAGCCCCAGAGTGTCTGGGAACAGAGATCCGAGGCCGAACTCCCGTAAAGCGGCCAGGAGACCACCCGGTGATGGAGCAGCACGGCGGGGTCCCGGCCTGCTCCGAGGGTCTCGGGGCCTGTGTCTCAGACTTTCCAAGGGGTGAAGGAACTAGCCCTACTAGTGGGGTCTGAGTGACTGGCAGGGGGAGCAGGGCAGGGGTGAAATGGGGAGGGCTAGGAGGTCCGACAGAGGATTTAGGCAAAGCCCAAAGCCACGGGCGCGGCCAGTGTTGGGCCCTCCTCTCTGCACCCGCTTTGCCTGGGGCTCATCGCTCCTCACCGTGTGGGCTCCACAAGGTCCCGGTTCTCCTCCTCATGATCTAGAACCTCCCCATCTCAGAGGTGCCTCCAGGAACCACCCCTCAGTGACAGCCCACGTCATCGGCCGCTGTCTCAGCCTCACACCGCTCCGCCTTCATGCCAACGTCCTATTTAACCCCCTCAAATATGCCTTCGGTTAGTGCCACCTGCCACCCACTGCCACTCCAAGCCCCGTTCACGCTCTCCCCACACGGCCTCCCTACACTGTGCTTCTCGGGGTCCTCTGAATGCTGCCTTGTGGGCTCAGCATGGCCGGGCTGGCGGCACCTGTCTGTTCGCATCCTCCTGCATGTGTGTGGCTGTCTCGCGTGCAGACTGCACATCTACCCTGCTCACGCCTCCCGCGTCCGGCGCGTTGTTCCAGTTTCCGGGACAGATGTCACCCGTGGTCGCGCCCTAATAAATGAGTCTGTCTGACTGCCCGAAAGCGGCATCCGTGCTGCCCTTCCTATCTCAACGAGCGGAGCCGAAGCGCCAGCAGGGACGCTGTGGGGGTGCTGCTGGCCGGGCGGTGTGGGTCCGTTTGTCCAAGATCCAAGACACCCCCCCTGGCTGGGTGGCAGCGGGCTTGCCAGGGCCAGTGGGCACAAGAGTTGTCCTGTGAGGGTCCCGACACGCATAAGAAGGCCACAGCGCCCCAGGCCATGCCCCCCGCCCAGCTCCCAGCACTGCGGCTCCTGCTGGCTCTGGACCAGCTCTAAGCTCACGCGAACACAGACTCCTGAGCCGCGCCCCAGATCCCTGCGCGCGGAAGCCACCTGCGACCACCAGGTGACTCGCGCGTGCTTCGAAGTTCACCTAAGGGCCAGGCGTCTGCCTCCGGGTATGCGTCTGCTTGAGGTGCCAAGAACCCTTGGGGAGATGCGCCCCAAATTATGATCAACGTACAAAATGCACATTTTGGGGGAGCCACCGAGTACGCTTATTAAATTCCAGGTCCTGTTCCACGTGCCTTCCGTGGGTCACTCATGTCCCTTTTCAGACCTCCAGGAGGTGGGTACCATTCCAAACCCCTGAGGAACAGAGGTGTGCGGCGGCTTCTATTGCCCGTTGGTGGCAGCGAAGCTGGGATTGACCCCCGGCTGTGCGTCACCCGGTCTGAGACCTTCTCCTCTGGCTGAGGTAAACGCCGTACGTTCACCAGAAAAGAGCTCACCTCAGGGCGGGCACACTCGACTCCTCCTCCAAACATAACTCCGGTTTTAACCACAACGCTTCCCTGTTCGCATCTCTGTGGATCTTCATCTAGATCAATCTCCTCATGACATTTCTCTCTCTCATTACGGTTCGGTACATTCATCCACGGGAAACCGGCTTAGAGAATGAAGAGGCGTCAAAGGGACCATACCTCTTGGTCAACGGACCTTCTCGTGAAGCTTCCCTTTCTTCACAGTCTCTGGCACCTATGTTGTCGAGATTCATTCTTTGATTTCATCCCACAACGACATCGGGTGTGGCTGGACCTCTGGAACCCAGAACGTTTCTCTACATCCTTGAGATGTACGTCCATCTTCACGAGATGCTGACATACCATCTCCTCTAACGCAAACTCTGAGAATCGGCTTCTCATTCTCCATCGACTGCTTCCATCTTTCCTCCCGGAGCAGCTGGGCCCTGGCATTACCCGCACCTGGCGAGCGGTTGCAGCCACGTGCAGACATCCAAGGGGGTGGGCGCCACGCTCAACCTTAGGTGCGCCCACTGGAACGGGCGCTTCGGGCGGCTCTGCCCCTTGTTCTCCAAACACTGGGCCGGAGTCCTGTACCCCGGGGGCCTGGATGCTTCTTTGAACGCTCGTTCTTAGAAGAAATAGTCAACCTTTCTCGAAAGGTAAACTAAAACAATGATCTTCAAGCCGGGTGCACGTTAGAATCACCCGCGGGGAGGGGACTACCCTTAAGGAATGCAGCTGCCAGCTGGGACGCCCAGATGACCACCTGGGACGCCCAGATGACCACCTGGGGTGGAGAAGGGGCTGCTATGTTTACAAACCTCTCTGGGGGGAACCTGGAAGTTTGAGAAAGGTGTTCGCCACGTGCTTTCACGTTTCACCTCCCGCTGCTGAGTGGGCAGTTTCTCTGTTAAGGGTCATTGGACTTGAAGCTGATGCTTCCCCAGCTTGAGTGCACGTCGGAATCACAGGGCTCGTTACACACAGGTTGCTGGGCTCCGTCTCCAAGATATCTGGCGGGACTGGCCTGTCAATTTGCATCTGACTCGTTTTCTGGGGATGGAGACTGGATGCTTAATTTAAGAAACTAAGCATTGTATTTCATCAACTAAACTCAGATGAAACTGGGAGGTGCCTAAGAAAGCAGTTTCTGGGGGTGACAGAGGGAAATCGATTTGCCTAAACTCCTCCAGGCAGTTAATTGACCGGTTCTGGCCGCATCTGAACCTCGAACTCAGTCAGGTTCGCCGACACCCAGTCAGTGATGTTCCGACCCCAGCATCCTGGCTGCTAACGCGTGCTATCAAAACCCAAGCAGGTCACAGATGACCTCAGGTGTGCCGGCGGAAGTCGCTGCGGTGGAGGCCTGGCGCCAAGCGACCCCCGTACCTGCATTTGTAGATGTGGAAACTACTCACCTGTTTTTGCTTTTACAACTACTTATTGCAGTATAAAATCCACACAGAAAAGGCCACCAGTCCGCAGCATACGGCCAGACTCAGAGCAACCAGCAAGACACCTGACCGCTCACATAGGTCCCCAGGGGAAGACTGGCGGGGAGATTCGCAGGGCAAAAGGAAGGCGGGAGGGGACTGCCACACCCGCCCGGCTCCGCAGCACTGGCTGGGGCATCCTAACACCTCCCGGGAGGAAGTGCCAAGTCGAGCAAGGCCAGCCCGGCAACATGCGTGGCGTCACAGTAACGAGGGTTCCCTGGGGTGTTGAGAAGGTGCACTATTCTTGGGCACCCGGCCCTGAGATTCCCAGCTGCACCCCAGGGCCGCTTCCCCACCCCCGCCCGCCAACACCGGGAACCGAATCTACAGGTGCGCTGTGCATAGCGACAACAGTGACCTCACGGGGTGACCTGACCCAACCCCTGGCTGGGCCGGTCACGGTGGGCAGCCAGGTCCAGGCCCACAGCGTAAACGTCCTCGTCAGGCCCCTCAGAGCGCAGCCACCCTCCCAGGAGCCCGCGGCCTCCCGAGCTGCCTGCACCTCGCTTTCCGCACCGTCATGTGATCTCTGACCTTCCCGCCCTCACTCCAAACGCAGAAGGGGACTGCAGAACTGCCGTTCCCCGGGGTATCTGACATCTTGCTTCCCTGCATGTGGTGAGTTCGGCTCAGATCTTACAAGGATTTTCTACAGGTGTCAAGTTCTCAGGTTGATGCTCCAGCGGCTCCGGCGACCCCGGTCCATTCCGCATTTGCACCTGGGGTCGGCGTCAGGGCCGTTCGCCAAGCGCTGGTTTCGCTTTTTAAACAAAGAATTCCCACGTCCTGGAAAAAGAAGAAAAAAGAAAGTGGAACAGTATTTGGGTAGATGCAGAAATAAGCTTTTAGTAAAGGTGAGCCCCTGCAGGGTCAGGATGGCCGAGCGGTCTAAGGCGCTGCGTTCAGGTCGCAGTCTCCCCTGGAGGCGTGGGTTCGAATCCCACTCCTGACAGCATCTTTTCGAATTGCTTCTCGTATTCCCAGCGTGGAGACATTAGGAGATCTGATCATTTTAATCTCATCTGCTTTAGTTGTCTGTCCCTCGCTCTGTTTCACACTCAGAGTTGAATGTAATGAAGCTGACTCCTCAATTGTCACTGATGTCCGCAGGCCCTTCTTTTGTTTTATCTATTTATATATTCCTTTTTAATTCCCTTTCCTGAGCCTCATTTCCTATTTCTCACTCCCATAAACAATCATTGGAAAGGTCATCCTTTCTGTTTTGTTTTTATACAACATGTGTTTTGGGTTTCAGCACCTGCGTTTTTCATTTACATAAATGACGCGGTGTCGTATCTCATTCCATTTTTACAGTTTTGAGATGTATCTATGTTGCTGTCTGCACATCTGGACCATGTCTAGACCAATTGTTTTTAATTGCTGCCTAGAGACCTGCAGTGTGTGTCCACCTGTCACACAAAAGGACTCCCAGATTGGGTCCCACTGCTTACACCACAAACAAGGTGCCATCAACGACCATGTTTCTGCATGTTCCGTTATGAAGCTGTGCGACACTTTCCTTGAAAGACTGCAGGATTGCAGGCCACAGGGCTGACTCTTCACAGGTTCTGCAGCAGAACGGGCCCCAGGAGGAGGGC